ACAAATTCTCCTAAATCACTCGTACGCACAACTTAAGAACAAATCTGTGCATACGAACGGTTCTTGCATGAGGCCCAATGATCGGACGCAGACTGAACACAGGACACAGAATATAAAGGCAAACTAATTAAGAGATAATGGGAAACACCTATGGAGACACAAGGGGAAACAGGTGAGCGTGGGCGGGGCTGGAGGCAAGACAAGCGTGGGCGGGGCTGGAGGCAAGACAACAGGGAAGTGATACACAGGGAAACATAGAAACACTAGAAAACTAAAGCAAAAACACAGATCATGACATCACAGATTCATTGTGCTGATAAATGGCAACCTATCCAGGGTGTACCCCACCTTTTGCCCAATTAGTAGCTCAGGGGTGGACAATCCTGGTCCTCGAGGGCCTGTACTCTGCTCTACTTTACAAGAAAAGTCCCATTTATAAGGCAAAGGGAGAGAGGACAGAGAAGGTTCATGGGTGAAGGAGGATAGGAAGATGAGTGGCCCTTTTTAAAGGCTTTTCTTTTGATTTCTCCGCTTCACTGATTTGCAGCCTCATTGGAAAAAGTCGTACAGTTAGCAGCTCTAGATCTGCACCATCGTCCTGAAGGGTTTTTCTTTCTCCCACTATAGCATTGAGTTCAGTTTGACAACACAAGCTCTCATACTGTATCCATCTATCTGTAGACCACTGAACTGATTTTTATTTTCCTGGCTGCAGTGATGCTGGTTCAGACCGTTAGCCCAAAGCCTCCTGTCTGTCTGTCTGTCTGTCCCACTCGTTGTCATCCTCCAGCTTAAAGCAGGCTCGTGGCCGGGGAAAGCCGCATTAGCAAGGCAAGGAGATGTACAAACCTTGGTGGTTATGTAAACCCTCCCTCCCCCAACACACAAACAAGCCCTTAAGCCTCTCTGGTTTGTAGCCAGCACACGCTAGCAAGTATCTTTCTCTGCTTACCATTACGTCTTTACTACACAGGTCTGTTGTCTATCTGCAGCGTCAAAGTAAACAATACTGTCAGAGGAAAACAACCACAAAGCAGCAATTTTTTTAACCCATGACTGAAACATGACAATTTTATTTTTTCCAAGATAAACAGAATATTGCTCAGGTTTAGTTTCTTTGGCAAACTGGTTTTACTTCACAAGAAAAGTCCTATTTATACGTTTTATTAGTCATTATTTGGACATAATGTAGAATTTGTTTTATAAAGTTTAATTTTTTTATTTTATTTTATTTTTGTCTTTGTTAATTCTTTGTAACACAGCACTACTTCCTCATCCTTTTTGGTCACGATGGACAGAAACCTTTGGAGCTGCGGTCAGAAGAAGAGTCCGACTGCACCGAGTGGGTCGAATGCATCCAGCAGGCCAGGTATGAAGGGGACAAATATTGAACTAATCTTTCATTTGCAGTAGGTAAAAATTCATAATGAAGTTGGACCATACAGCGTTTCTGTATGTGCGTCATTTTCATTTGTAGTTTTTTTCAGTTCACTCCCTTCGCTCATTTAGTTTTACCATCTGCATTATAAACCAGATGCAGTGGTATTAACTAATCAAAAAATCCACAGATATATCTGCCACATGCTGTATTATGTAATACAGATGTAATTTAATACTTATTTTTCTCTACAGTTGAAATGAACTGTAAATTTGTCAAAATCAGATGAAGCCATACTTTAACTACATTCTTCAAAAGCCTGCAAATCTGGACTTTTGTTGCCTTATTTTCAAATAAAATATTGCTGTGCTTCTGACACAAATACATAGCAATAAATACCATCAGTCAGAAAGATTCTAGTTGTCATTTTGTTTTGTGTTAAAGGACACATGTTCACAACTTAAACAGATGGTTCTAGACCAAAGAGCCTCAGTGATGCCTCAAAACCAACCAGCAAATCAAAAGCTTGCCATAAAGTCACTGGTGTCCATCACCTCTATCATTTTAAACAATCTGTGGGGTCATTCCTGGGAGCAACTATAATTTCATGTTTTTGTTCCACATTTATTTTAGATTTACATCACTTCATCCTCACAATGGGCCTCATGCAAGAACATGTTCGTATTTTTATCCTAAATTTCTCTTACTTTTGTTCGTACAAAGGGTTCGTACAAACATGTCACGTCAGATTCAACAAACTCTTCTATCTTCAGGAAACGTGCGTAAATGAGCTGCGTAATTTDCACCTMTTCTATKCAGCTGCTCGTGCACGCGAGAGGAGATTAGCATAATTACCACCCCAAAAACACCATATAAGGCTATGATTCCTGCCTCAGATATCAGGAAGTGTCCATTCATGAAAATGGCAGCGAAAACTTAAAAGAAAAACTTTACGAGTTCAGAGATTGAAGTCCGTCTGTCAGAGATCCAGAAAAGAAAATCTGTCATTTTTAGCAGCTCAGCTGTGGGATAAAAAGAGCTGCTAAAAGTATAAACAACTGTGTTAAATCATTTTCATTTATTCAGAAGACACAGCGCAGCGCTGCGCACCGTAAGCCCCCCCCCCCCCCCCAGCGCGCTGCGCGGCGCAGGTGGTCTCAGATGCGGGTCTGAAATAAGCATTTTAAAATGTTTTCAAAATAAGTCTGGCACTTTGGAGAAAATCCTGGACTTGATCATATATCCTCTCTGGCCTGGGAACGTCTTGAGTCCCCCAGGACGAGCTGGAAGGTGTAGCAGGGGAGAGAGGGGTCTCTCTGCTGCTGCCCCCGCACCCGATCCCGGATAGGCGGCGGAAAACGGACTAACGGACAATTTATTGTTAGTCTAAATTATTACATTTAAAATTATAACTCTAATTCAAGCAGAATAGCCTATTGTCAACATAATTATGGAGTGTAATAATAAATATAAAGTTATTAGTGAAGAAAACCCGTCTGGATAACAGCAGACTGACTGTTCGTAAAATGTACGACAGGTCTGGACCACTCGTAAATTTTGTTCATATCTGAAAAAAATCGTAGAATACGAAAACATTGGTGAATGCCACAAATTGTCCTAAATCACTCGTATGCACAACTTAAGAACAAATCTGTGCGTACGAACGGTTCTTGCATGAGGCCCATTATTCATTTCAGTTTCCACAAGAGCCCAAGACAAATAAACTGAAACAGAACTTTTAAGAAGTTATGGTGAAGACTTAAAGACCTTCAGGTGCAGCTCAGAAAAATAGAATATTGTGAAAAAGTATTTTTTGTTTTGTTTTTGTCAATCAGTTTATAAAGTGAAACTCGTATATAATATAGAATCATTACACACAGATTTGAAGCCTTTATTTTTTGTAATTTTGTTGATTATGGCTAACAAGTAATGAAAAAAAACAACAAACTTTAGTGTTTCAGAAAATTAGAATATTATGAAGAGGTTCAATATTGGAAACTCATGGTGTGTCACCCTAACCAGCTAAATAAATCTGGACCCAGTCTACAAATGCCCCATTCCTCAAATCAAGCTGGACCAGAGACATCAGAAGGGTTTCACCTGGGCAGAGGAGACAAAGAACTGGACTCAGTGGTCCAGTGTCCTCTTTTCAGATAAAAGTCCACAGTCAACGCAGGACATTTAGCGCACTTCATTCTTCTTTCTACTGACAAGCAGTGTTGGATAAAGTACCTCAAAGTGATACTTGAGTAAAAGTACAAGTATCTTATCATAAAAATATTTTGGTAAAAGTTAAACTCTTCTCTAAAAATATTACTTGAGTAAAAGTCTTAAAGTATCTGATTTTTTTGTACTTTGTATCAAAAGTAAATTTCTGACACAAAATCTACTTCAGTATTAAAAGTAAAAGTACTGAGTAAAAGTGAGCAGTTAGATTTTCCAAAATGACATTTATTGGGAGGTGACTTCTCCAAAAAAATATTTTTTCTAACAGCGTGCAGCTGTGATGGGTTGTGTACAAGCTAACAGGGTGTCAGAATGGTATATATTTATAATTCTCATCCAACCATAATTAAATTCACTCTATCCAGGACACACTTTATCAAGATAGTATTTTTTTAAGTAATAACTCGGAATAAAGTAGGAGTAATGACTTTCTACTTCTTACTTTTTTTTAAAAAATGTAGTGAGTAGAAAGTACAGATAATTGTGTAAAAATGTAATGAGTAAAACTAAAAAGTACGCTGAAAAATAATTACTCAAGTAAAGTACAGATAACCAAAATTTCCACTTAAGTACAGTAACAAAGTATTTGTACTTAGTTACTTTACAACTCTGCTGACAAGCTTTATGGAGATGCTTATTTTCATTTTCCAGCAGGATTTGACTCCTGCACACACCACCAAATGTACCAATTATTTTCAAGTTTTCTGAGACACTGGATTTTAGATCGTCATTATTTCTAAGCCATAATCATCAAAATAAAAGAAATAAAGTGGAATAATCTATGTATGTAATACAAGTTTCACTTTCTGAACTGACTGACAAAAAAAATCAACTTTTTCAGAATATTTAAATATTAGGAGCTGCACCTGTAATGGGATCTAGAGTTGACCTGCTTGAGCTGATAGTTTAGAAACTGTGAATAAATACCATACCATAGTTCAACAGCTGCCTTGTTTTTTCAGTGGTCTGGTACAACAAAACCTGAAACTCTATTAGGAGAAAACAGGTGCTTTGACAGCAGTTCTGCTTTAACATTCTGCTTTAGTTTGTGTTTATGTGAAAAGGGATGTTCCACTCATTCCATCATGTGTAGTTTGTGACCTGTGCTGCTTTATTGGCCAAGACAAACGTCCCTGCTGTTGACAAAAATACATTTTAATCATGTTTTAAAAGTGAACTATTCTGTTCTCTTTTTAAAACTACTTTCTGTTCCTTTTTCTTTGTGCTGAAAGTCGTTTGACACGGAGACTACATCTAAGTGTGTGTATGCATGTTTGTGTGTGTGTGTGCTTTCTGCTCGCAGCGGTTCACATTTAGGTCACTGTATTGCCACACTTGTTACATCACAGACTTGATCTCACCACTCAAGCTCTATTTCTCTCTGCTCGTTCTCTCTGTGGCTGTCTCTCCTGTTTTTAATGTAGAAAAAAAAACTCAAACACCTGTTCACTGTCGGCACAGGTGCTGATAGACTGAGTCCATCCAGTCACTGGTGTCACATGTCACACAAGTCATGTTTTAGTTGTTAAAATAATTTTGCATGTATATAAGTTGGTCTTTTTATTGTTAGCTACTCCGATGTTATCATCGAGCGTGAGATCTTGATGCAGAAATACATCCACCTGGTCCAGATCTTGGAGACAGAAAAGATTGCAGCCAATCAGCTTCGGACTCAGCTGGAGGACCAGGACACAGAGATCGAGAGGCTCAAAACGGAGGTATGCATGAGTGCATTCACATCTGTGTGCACGTACTGTATATACTTAAATACACATACTGCTGCACACACATTTACATGAACAGGGACTCAGAGATGGGCCTCTGGTATGATGAGAAAACACAATAAGGCTCCGGTCATTTTGTTGGTTTGTTGTTGTGCAATTTATAATTTAAACACTGATTTTAACAGGTATATTAACACACAGCTGTGTGAAGCTGACACCCCACCCACGTCAAAAAAT